GTAGTAGTGGTGGTGGTAGTAGTAGTAGTTGTAGTAGTGGTAGTCAGTATTAGTAGTAGTAGTAGTAGTAGTAGTAGTGGTAGTAGTAGTAGTAATGGTAGTAGTAGTAGTAGTCGTAGTAGTAGTAGTAGTAGTAGTAGTAGTAGTAGTAGTAGTAGTAGTAGTAGTAGTAGTAGTAGTAGTAGTAGTAGTAGTAGTAGTAGTAGTAGTAGTAGTAGTAGTAGTAGTAGTAGTAGTAGTAGTAGTAGTAGTAGTAGTAGTAGTAGTAGTAGTCTTAGTAGTAGTAATTTTCGTAGTTGTAGTCGTCGTAGCCGTACTAGTGCTAGTAGTTGTTGTTGTTGGTGGTGGTGGTGGTGATGGTGGTTGTGGTGGTGGTGGTGATGGTGGTGGTGGTGGAAGTAGTAGGAGCAGTAGTAGTCGTTGTAGTAGTAGGGAGGAGGAGCAGGAGGAGGAGGAGGAAGAGTTGAAGGAGGAGGGAGGGGAGGAGGAGGAAGAGGAGGATGATGATGATGATGATGATGAGATGATGATGATGATGATGATGATGATGATGACGATGATGATGATGATTACGATGAGGAGGATGAGGAGAGGAATAGAGGAGGAGGAGAAGAGGAGGAGGAGGAGAGGGAGGAGGAGAGGAGGAGGAGGAGGTGGAGGAGAGGAGGAGGAGAGGAGAAGGAGGATGAGGGGAGGAGCCGGAGGAGCTGGACGAGCTGGAGGAGGAGAGGAGAGGAGGGGGAGGAGGAGGAGGAGGAGGAGGAGGAGGAGGAGGAGGAGGAGGAGGAGGAGGAGGAGGAGGAGGAGTGGAAGAGGAGGACATGCAGATCGAATGTCGCTGTCGAGCCCTGCCAGGAGGGATGAGGTTGACACGACGGTCAAGAGGACCTTAAGCGGAGGTCGCCATGGAAAATGCTTGAGACGAGCATCGTGAGCGGGAAGGGGGAAATGACGGCGCCCTAGCCGCGAAACGGCCCAGGCTCCTACCGCCCATTACTGCCACCCCCTCCCGCCAGCAGCAGCCGCTTGAGCTGCTTCTCGGTCATCGCCGCGAGTGGAGCTGCCACCCCGTCCAGGCCGCAGCCCTTAGGGAGGCCTAGCGCGCAGTCGGCGCGAGGGCCCGGTCCATTGGCTGCTGCGAGCCCGACGCGGCCGCGGGCGTCCTGGCCGGCGCAGCCGCAGCAGCTGCGACACCCGGCTGCCGCAGTGGCCGCATGCCCTCGCCGCCGCGGCCATGGCGGGCGGGCAGACTACGTGTATGGCAAGCGCCCAGAAGCGTGAGAGGACGGCCATCACCATCTCCATGTTGTGCTGCAGCAGGCGCAGGGCTCGGGCGGTGGCGCCGCCGCCGCGGCCTGTGGCCGCCGCCTGCCGTCTCCACCGCCATGGGTGCGGCCTGGCTTGCTCCCGGGTGGGCGCTCGCCTCCGCGGCCGCCGCGCCAGTCGCGCCCCGACCTGCAGCGGCAGCCCCGCGGCCACCACAACCTCGGCGCCGCCGCCGCCGCCTCGAGGGAGGCGCAGCGTCGGGTGCAGGGGCGGGGGCTGCGGAGTGGCTTAGCCTCGGAGGCTCGCCTCGGCTGCGCGCAGAATGCCCTCGGCGGCCCGCAGCAGACGCTACCCCGCATGGTAGTGCCCCGCCGCGAGCGCCGCCGCCGCGTGCGTCGCCAGCAGCACCCCGCGGGCGGCTTTCTCGGTGTCGCGGCGGCCAGCAGGCTGCGAGAGCGTACTGGGCATCGCTCCGCGGCGAGCGCGGCCGTTGCCCCACGATGCGAGGTTGAACCAAGATGGGTACGAGGCGGAGGAGGAGGAGGAGGAGGAAGAAACTGAGGAAGAAAAGGAAGAAGAGGAGGAAGAGGTGGAGTAGGGTGAGGAGGGGGAGGAGGAAGGACGAAGTGGGGAGGAGGGAGGGAGAGAGGCGGGAAGAGGAGGAGGGAGGGGTTTGGTCCCATAACTCCCATAATTACACATGCCGGTTTGCAAGAAGGAAAGAGAAGTGGGAGGGAAGAGAGGGAAATGTCTCCCGACCTTTCCACCCTCGCATCTCCCTCTCCCCTTTCTCCGCCTCCCTCCACCGTTCACCTCCCTTTGATGTCTCCTCCCCTGTCTTCTGCACCCTTCTGTCGCTCCCCGCTTTCCTCCTCTTTCTCCTCCTATCCCTCCTTCTCCTTCTCCTCCTCATCCTCCTCTTCCCTTCTCCTCATCCTCTTCCTTTTCCTCCTCCTCCTCCTTCCCTTTCACATCGTCGTCCTTGTTATTCTTCTCCCCCCTCCTGCTTCTTCTTCTCCTCCCTGCCTCTTCTCTCTCTCTCACCCTCTGATGACTGCGATTTCCATTCTGTTTTGCTGCTTTTTTCTCTCTGGCATCGCTGCTATCGCTGGCCGCCTGCATAGGAGCCCAGCGCACGCTGGTTCAGCGCTCGTGCACAGCGGCACCGCTAGGCGGGTGTGCGCCCGTAGCGTTCGAGCCGCGCGGGTTGCGAGAGGGACTCGGAGATTCAGGCGAGAGGGAGGGGTGTAGGGGGCCACATGCGAACCCTACCCCTACCCCCACGATTTCTGAGGGGGAGGGTGGGGTTCACTTCGTTCGGGAGCGCCCGAGAGAAGCGAACCCCAGCCTCCCCTCAGAAATCGTGGGTGGGGCTGGGGTTCGGGCCCGCCTCGCGAGGAAATCTTCGAAGCAGCCTGCCCCCCCCCCCAGAGGCGGATGACGCCACACGCGCCGCCCAGGCGCCTCCTCACCGGAGGGAGGGAGTGCACCGACGCCTCGATCGGGGCAAGCGGGTCCTACTACGAGTAGAGCAGTTCCAGATCACACTCCAGGGCGGTAATCATGACGAGCCCATGGCCGAGCCCCCAGGCAGACACACGAACCATCCTGTCAGTGATGATGCTTCAAAAGGTCCTGGCCGCAGACATGTAATGCAACATCCGTCCGCTCAGACGTTCTTCTCGCCTCAGCGTGCGACGAAAACCATGACATTGTAATATTCTCCTTGAAGCAAAGCCGCATGCACTCCACACAGCAAGAGCAGTGACCTCGAGACATTGTCGAGATGTCGTCGACGTACCGTTTCTAGTCATGCTTGCCCGACGGTTGACCCCGTCGGGAAACTGAAAACGGTCATCCCGAACCAGTGACAATTCATAATGAACATCATACCGCCTCCCCTCTGCGCCCAGGTGCACCTCGACAGCGGCACGACTCATGACACCACCAATCGCAATCCCCCGCATCTCTGTCACGCCGTTGTCCAGCACTGCAATCGTGAACATGCCCGTGGCTCTCGCTCAGGGCCTGCGCTATCTCTGAAATTGAAGTAGTCCACCAGTGCGGGCTTTACAATGACCACGTGCCTGGGTACTTGCATAGCTTGCGCTTGTCCTTGCGAATCATGGCTCTGCTCCCGGGTCCTGATGGCGATGAGCTCCCAATCACCCGCCTCCTCGGAAGCATCGCAAGCTTCGAAAGCTTACACAACATCAGCGGAACAGCACGGAGCTTGCTCACGAGAAGGCGCGAGCACCTCCCACAGCAATTGCGTGGCGGCTTGCACGCTGAAGACGTCAACTCCTGGACTGCTGGAGCAATCGCGCGCATGCCGGAAACAGCTTGAGACCGTGGGAACTTTGATAAGACACCGATCGTGGCCCGTGCGATGACACGCCACCCACTGACATATGGTACGCGGCTGAAATCGAGGATCCTTGGCCAGCAGCTGTGACCTTCGACAGCACACGTTCGCCCGCAATCGTCCGCGAAACACTTGGACTTTACCTGGAAGAGAAGCCTCGAAGGCTGCGAAGACACGGGCGCTGGCTTCCGAAGGCGCGCGGGTACT